TATACCAGTGTACATATTACACTAATGTACACTCCGTCACTATACCAGTGTACATATTACACTTCTGAACACTCCGTCACTATACCAGTGTACATATTACACTACTGAACACTCAGTCACTATACCAGTGTACATATTACACTACTGTACACTCCGTCACTATACCAGTGTACATATTACACTACTGTACACTCTGTCACTATACCAGTGTACATATTACACTACTGAACACTCCGTCACTATACCAGTGTACATATTACACTACTGTACACTCTGTCACTATACCAGTGTACATATTACACTAATGTATACTCCGTCACTATACCAGTGTACCTATTACACTAATGTACACTCCGTCACCATACCAGTGTACATATTACACTAATGTACACTCCGTCACTATACCAGTGTACATATTACACTAATGTATACTCCGTCACTATACCAGTGTACATATTACACTACTGAACACTCCGTCACCATACCAGTGTACATATTACACTAATGTACACTCTGTTACTATATCAGTGTACATATTACACTAATGTATACTCCGTCACTATACCAGTGTACATATTACACTACTGTACACTCTGTCACTATATCAGTGTACATATTACACTAATGTACACTCTGTCACTATATCAGTGTACATATTACACTAATGTACACTCTGTCACTACACCAGTGTACATATTACACTAATGTACACTCTGTCACTATATCAGTGTACATATTACACTAATGTACACTCTGTCACTACACCAGTGTACATATTACACTAATGTACACTCTGTCACTATACCAGTGTATGCACTTCGGGTAATGGTATTATTGTAGTGATAAATATTTCTTTTAATTACTTTAGGTTTTTAAAATATTGTACTATTTATATTTCATTATAATATAAGGGCAAAGACAGTTCCGTCTTTACATATTCATGAACCGAGTTTACCCGACCATCGTAACCGGTTTGCAATGTTTTGAAATCGGCAAGAAACAAGGTGACCTTCGCTTGTAACCTATTCTATGTATCCTAAAATGTTCGAGGAAGATAAAAAACCATATAAAAAAGTATTACAGACCAGAGGTTATGAAACCATGTAGTGGAATTCTGCAAACTCGTTGTTTTCATGACTTAATAATACCTGTTCAATCAACCGTCTGAATGCTGAGATTTTTTAAATCTGACTAGTAATTTTATAGAACTGAAGGACCAGTTTTCTGTAACTACCTCTCGTTGTCTAGTTTTATAAGCCATTCAACAAGTTAGGTAGTTAGTTATACGTGCGGTAGCTTTTACTTGTTTGTTGACAAGCAAGAAGCTAAACAATGGGCTATCAGTGCTATGTTAATAATGGCTTTACTTCAAGTCCAGTTTTACTAATACTTATTAATAATGGCATTATTTCAAGTCCAGTTTTACCAGTACTTGTTAATAATGACATTACTTCAAGTCCAGTTTTACTAGTACTTGTTAATAATGGCATTACTTCAAGTCCAGTTTTACTAGTACTTGTTAATAATGACATTACTTCAAGTCCACTTTTACCAATACTTGTTAATAATGGAATTACTTCAAGTCCAGTTTTACCAGTACTTGTTAATAATGGCATTACTTCAAGTCCAGTTTTACCAATACTTGTTAATAATGGCATTATTTCAAGTCCAGTTTTACCAGTACTTGTTAATAATGACATTACTTCAAGTCCAGTTTTACTAGTACTTGTTAATAATGGCATTACTTCAAGTCCAGTTTTACCAATACTTGTTAATAATGACATTACTTCAAGTCCAGTTTTACCAATACTTGTTAATAATGACATTACTTCAAGTCCAGTTTTACCAATACTTGTTAATAATGACATTACTTCAAGTCCAGTTTTACCAGTACTTGTTAATAATGACATTACTTCAAGTCCAGTTTTACTAGTACTTATTAATATTAACATTACTTCAAGTCCAGTTTTACCAGTACTTGTTAACAATGACATTACTTCATGTACAGTTTTACCAATACTTGTTAATATTAACATTACATTCAAGTCCAGTTTTACCAGTACATATTAATATTAACATTACTTCAAGTACAGTTTTACCAATTCTTGTTAATAATGGCATTACTTCAAGTACAGTTTTACCAGTACATATTAATAATGACATTACTTGAAGTCCAGTTTTACCAGTACTTGTTAATAATGGCATTACTTCAAGTCCAGTTTTACCAGTACTTGTTAATAATGGCATTACTTCAAGTCCAGTTTTACCAGCACTTGTTAATAATGACATTACTTCAAGTCCAGTTTTACCAGTACTTGTTAATAATGACATTACTTCAAGTCTAGTTTTACCAGTACATATTAATAATGACATTACTTCAAGTACAGTTTTACCAGTACATATTAATATTACCATTACTTCAAGTCCAGTTTTACCAGTACTTGTTAACAATGACATTACTTCATGTACAGTTTTACCAATACTTGTTAATTTTAACATTACTTAAGTCCAGTTTTACTAGTACTTGTTAATATTAACATTACTTCAAGTCCAGTTTTACCAATACTTGTTAATATTAACATTACTTCAAGTCCAGTTTTACCAATACTTGTTAATATTAACATTACTTCAAGTCCAGTTTTACCAGTACTTGTCATATCATGAATACAGAATGACATATAATTACAAGTACAAATAAGGAAGATAAAGTTTATGCGATTCCTAGTTTTATTTGTTGGCGATTCTATGAAATGAAATGTTTGAAAAAATATGTTGCAGAAATTTGAGATAAACTTCCGGAAAGATCGGCTATCAAGAAACAGCCAAATACATCACGTGAAAGGTTTCATCCAATAAACACACAGCAGTTTTTCTGACAATACATTGGGCAATTATCTTCTGGGAAACTTGCAAAACAGGTAACATCACATTCGAAGTACAAGATGAAATTTAGTTACTTCGACACATCCTTAATGTCATACGGTAAAAAAACACGTAATTTACTGGTCTTGTCAAGTAGTGGTAACTTAATGATACAATTTAAACCACACTTATTATAGCTTACAGTCACGTGGATACCAAGCATCGGTAAATTGTCTGGTGTAAGTTCAGCAACACATTTTACATATTACAGTTACGTGGACTAATTCTTAGAGAATCTAACTTACCCTTTGACTAGATGGTGACCTCCAAGGGGTTAATGTCCAACGTTTGATAATATTTTGATCTCTGACCCGGAAAATGTTTACGTGATTCTCTTCAACCATATTTTTTTTATTTAAAACTACTTTATACAGAGGTACACACGATAATATGTTGTATGTCCCGGTAGAGAGCGCTGCGAGCTTTTTTCCAATTCATCAGGTTGTTAGCACCCAGTTGGAGATCAGGTTACATCAGGATCGCAAAATCCCGCAGAACTGGGCTCTCACATTTCCTGCTGTTTGTGTTACTATAGCTTTTTAACAGAACTGCATTAGTTAATGTTGATCGAAGTTTTTGTTGCAACCCTGCGTTACTTGAACTAACGCACGCACATGACCCTAATACTTGGTCCATAAAACTCCAGGCATGATTGTTTTAGGCTTATCTCTGTTCGATATTCCTACTCAAACTCACGGGGAGGGCCGATTGAAGAAATAATTTCTAAAAGCATCAGAAACTATTAATACTTTGACTAATTCATTCTTAACTTTTGTGGAATTATGTCGCGTTAAATCAGCTAGGAATGAATCTGGTCTTGAGTCACAGTTAATCATGAAAATGCAAAGCGCCATCTTTTAGAACAATGCGCGTAAAATTGAAACAATCTGCATATAAACAAAAATTATTCCCCTGCTCTTATTTACTTGATTGTTCTAGAACAAAGCCACATCGGGCTGTGTCCACTGCGTGGAATCGAACCCCAGATTTTAACATTACAAATCCGTAAACTTACCGCTGTTTCACCAGGTTATTATTGTTAATATTTGTTTGTTTTGAATTTCGCGCAAAGCTACACGAAGTCTATCTGCGCTAGCCGTCCCTAATTTAGCAGTGTAAGACTAGAGGGAAGGCAGCTAGTCATCACCACCCACCGCCAACTCTTGGTCTACTCTTTTACCAACGAATAGTGGGTTTGACCGTCACATTATAACGCCCCCACGGCTGAAAGGGCGAGCATGTTTGGTGTGACGGGGATTCGAACCCGCGACCCTCAGATTGCGAGTCGAGTGCCTTAACCACCTGGCCATGCCGTCCTATTGTTAATATGCAATGAATATTTACAAACAAATTCTCCAAACTACGGTCGTGTCATCTATTGGACAATTTGTTCATTTTACGTTTAGTAGTTTAATGCGTTATTTTCTGTATTATAAAATACAAACTTCGACATAGCTTTGTCACTAAGGAAAATAAAACGTATTGTCTATGTAATTCGACAAATGAGATATTAATGTGACAAGTAAATGAGTTCCTGATTGTGAGGCTAACAGTACAAGTAGCAGGTTGCTCCTGAACAAGTTTTAAAAGCTAAACATGGAATGATATAGAAATAGTCTTATTCTGGAATTTATAATACTTTTTATCATAAAAAAAGTCCCTTACCAAAGCATTATTAACTTTAATTAATTATTAACATTAGAAACTTCTTTGATTAACTGATTCCACATGAATAGAGTTTAGTCACAAACAGGAATATTTATTTACCGATGTTACATATCAAATTTATTTTCCTTGCAGTAGTATCGAGGACTACAGACTTTTTCGTGTTTTGGAAGAAGAATTTGTTGTCAACTTCTTGGAGACAACTTTCTTGGTCGCAGATATCGCCTTCTGTTTAATATATGACCGTCTGTTCTTTGGCGTCTTGTCTCGAATATTCTCTTTCTTATTCATGTCACTAAGTGTTTCCTTATTAGCAGATGAAGGAGGCTTTTTAACACTAACCGTTTCGATTTTCTTTAAAGTTTTCGTATTGTTGTCAACAGTCACGTTAATTTGGCTCGTTTTAACTTTCTTAGTCTTGATTACATGTGGAGGTGTTCGGAAATAGATTTCGTCTTCACTACTGTCGATCTCAATTACATCGACATCTTTATCTTGCTGAGGAACGTGAATGTTTGACTCAACATGAACTGGTGTTGGTACGTCACTTTTTACTTCTGAAGTTGGTCTTCTGGGAAGCTGTTAGATATAGAGAAAAACATGGAGTAACTAATAAGAAACTTAAGATAACTGCTTTACATCTGAATATCCACTTATTTAAAAACACGAAGATGCATAGTTTCTGTTGGTGTTACAATTAGGAATCCCCTGATTAACACAGTTGTTGGTGATTTTAAAACTCAAAATCCCCTGATTAGCACAGTTTACTGATAATCTGCAAAATTTCGTGAAGATACACTTACTGTATTAAAATTTATGGCATGAAAACTGTAACAAGCACAAAATGGTTATGAGGTCGGTCCCTGGGACCGAACCCGTAGTGAGAGGGTTATGGAAATGGACAAAAGTCATGCATGCAGATGAAGGTATGGCATGTCATGGTGAAAGATGGACCCTGACATAAAAAAAAAGAATCTCCTAAATGGAAGATGGAAAGGCTCTTGGATTGCCAAGAGGGGAAGAAGATGGAACCACGACTGATCTTGATCTGGCCAATGAGGAGGCAATGTGTGAAAAACCAGCAAGGGACTACAGACAGCTTCCTGGGAAGAAGTCAAAAAAGATGATAGGTATACAGAAAGAAGTTGGCCTAATCCTGAGTCAGTACATGTACAACTAGAGCTGCAGAATCCAGGAATGGTGACCATATAAGTGGAAGCTTGGTGTTCAGTAGTTACAAAGGTGTCAAAGAGGACTCTCAAATTGGGAATAAATCCATTGAAATACCAGAGGAGGTAAGGAGAACTCTGTGGAACGAATCCAGTCTTTATGTGACACATGATATGCAACTAAGTGTAAAGCTCGCAGGACAGCAATTGGATGTGATGGTCGTGGCCCAAAATAGGAGCATGAGACTAAGAAAGTAGAGGACCCAAAAGTGAGTATGAGGATACTGAAATAAAGGCATCTTTGAACAGATGCACATCTGGGCAAGGTGGGGGAAGAGGGATAGCCAGGGTCACGTGGGAATGGTCAAGCCACCACAACAACAGGTGAAGAGATAGAGGGACAGACACAAGAGAAGCCACTGGTTCTTTGAAGATATTCTACTGATTTACCAGAGTCTATTAAAGGGGACACAAATGGTTGCATCTAAGAGGGATAAGGGACTTTAGAGAAAATCTCTCAAGCAAGAGACAGAAACACAAGGGCTTTGGAAACAATATGCTCCACATCTTGAAGATGTACAGAAGATTGAGCTTACAAATGAAAATCAGACTTGGATAGCTTGACCAGCCAACCCAAATGAGATGAATTCCAAACACAAGGGAGATTGCAACAAAGGCTGCCTTCCAGGATTGGGTAAGAAGGAGCTAATTATCCATATAGTAGTGGAAATGCATACCTAACAAATGCATCCTCTTCATAAAAGTACTAATGACCCAGTTGAAAATATACATGGGTGTAGCCAATTGGAAAGGAATAGTATTGAACAGAAAAATCTTACTGTTCTCAGAAAGAATATGAAAAGTGGGCAGACAGAAAAGCAGCTGAGCAAGTAAAATAAGATAAGCTGATTATGGAGAATAGAAACAAAGTAAGAGAAGAAAAAGGTCTCCAAACTAGAAGAAGAAGAGATTCACAGGATTGAAATTTGATAAAAGTAGAAGGATCCCAACTTCAGGCCATAGAATTGGATTCTCAACACTAGGGAGGGCATGGCAACTGGGTGACAACACAAAATTGAGACAAAAGAATTAGTGTGAACGTGAAAAGATAAAAAAAATAGATAAATTAGAAAAGAGGTTCCAGAAATATATATTCATGGATTCATAATCAAAAAATCTTTTCTTTTATCTTTCTTTAAGATCAAGAAAACTAAGCTAAGAAAGATAATAATTTGAATGTTAACTGAAAATTAAAAGTAATAAGTGTAACATAAAAAATTCCATAATTATTCTTGAAAAAGAACACAAATGAACAGTGTAACGAAGAGGAGAAGAATGAGCTATTGGTGTACACAAACTGTTGAAGGGGACTATTATGAAAGGAATGTGTCGCCTTCCTTATTTTTAGTGTACACAAACTGTTGAAAAGGACTATCATGCAAGGAATGTGTTGCCTTCCTTATTTTTGGTGTACACAAACTGTTGAAGGGGACCATCATGCAAGGAATGTGTTGCCTTCCTTATTTTTGATGTACACAAACTGTTGAAGGGGACCATCGTTCAAGGAGCGTGTTGCCTTCCTTATTTTTGGTGTACACAAGCTGTTGAAGGGGACTATCGTTCAAGGAATGTGTTGCCTTCTTTATTTTGGTGTACAAAATCTGTTAAGGAATGTGTTGCCTTCCTTATTTTTGGTGTACACAAACTGTTGAAGGGGACTATCATGCAGGGAATGTGTTGCTTTCCTTATTTTTGGTGTACACAAACTGTTGAAGGGGACTATCGTTCAAGGAATGTGTTGCCTTCTTTATTTTGGGTGTACAAAATCTGTTAAGGAATGTGTTGCCTTCCTTATTTTTGGTGTACACAAACTGTTGAAGGGGACCACCATGCAAGGAATGTGTTGCCTTCCTTATTTTTGGTGTACACAAACTGTTGAAGGGGACTATCGTTCAAGGAATGTGTTGCTTTCCTTATTTTTGGTGTACACAAACTGTTGAAGGGGACTATCGTTCAAGGAATGTGTTGCCTTCCTTATTGCACTATAGACTAGTGAAGTTCACGTTATTACGTGTAGGGGTGAGAGTTCATTCAAAGGCTTGGTGCTGCCAAATTATTTTCAGCAGTGACATGAGGTATTAGCTATTTGTTCTGCCGAGGAGCGAGTAGTGTGTTTTGAAGAGATATATATACACACGTTACGTTTTACACAGGCATTTGGTGTGCACTGCATGCTGATTGAAACACTTACTTCTCTATCCTATGTCTAAATATTCACATCTTATATATATATCATATGAAAATGTCACAACATTTCAACACTAAAATACCAGGTAAAATAAATATATCTTACTTTAAGGTCAAAATCAAATGTAATTCCTAGATCTGCCAGCTTGGCCTGGGTTTTCTTGATCCTTCTTGCTCGTTTTACCCAATTCTTCCGCTCCTTTTCAGGAGATTTCCACTTATTTTGACGAGAGATTGTAATTGACTTGGCAAGAAAAATTTTTTTCCCTGCACCCTTAAAAGTTAATGGGTGAACCTTTTCTGGTGGAATAAATCTACCTGTAAAAGAAGACAATATATGAACAGGGGTTTCATTACAAAAATTAAACGTTTATTATGCTTGTAAAAAGAATCCAAAATGCTTATTGAAATTTTCTCAAATGCACAGAAACATCTACAAGAGGGTAAATATGTTTACTGGGAAACCTTGCCTGTAAATATTCATTGATATAGTCATGTTCAGTTATGACAGTTGTCTGTTGAAAGCAGATCAAAATTATAAAAAAAACAAGTTCTTGTCTTAAGCCTAAAACTTACACTTCATCAGTTGGTCAAACATTAGGTAATTGTTCATAGTCTCTGCAACAATCTTTGCAACTTCATCACACTCAAATTCAATATAAGCATAGCCTCGACTTCCACCTGTCTGAAAAGATATTAATTAATAAAAATTATAGTACCCGAATACCAGAAAACCTCTCTCTGTTACAACTTGCTCAATATTTTGGATAACCAAACTGATATGTTTTATATTCATATTGTTTTATTTATAGAGTCTAAAAAAATTA